AGCCTCTTTTGCTTGAGCATTGCACTTGAGCCTGCCAGCTACCAATACTGGTAGCGGAGCCCTGAACTCCAGGGCTCCCTACTGGGTTGGTGGTCATTGCTGTTGATCTTGGATTGCCTTAGGCATTGTTGGATTGGACAGCGATCTGGCCTTCGAGGCCCGCCCTGGTGTTTGGGGCAACCGGAATTCGTTTGTTGCAGGAGCATGACATCAGTGGAGCGCAAGGAACACATTGCTACATGGAATGGTGATGCAACATTGTGGCTTGACTATGTGAAGAGAGTTAGGTTGCAATATGAGAGGACGGAGCCCAAGAAGCGTTGTTTGTTGGGAGCAGAGTTGGCTAGTCGGTTGACAGGCAAAGCTTGGGATGTTGCATCGGCAGAGATCGACCACTCCAAGCTACAGCAGTCGAATGGAGCATCCTACTTGTTGTCATTCCTGGAGGAGCGCCTGTGCAAGACACCAGTTCCGGACGTTGGCCAACGACTTGAAGAGTTTTTCATGAAGTTGAGGCGCCAACCAGGAACTTCCATGACAGAATGGGCAACTTCGTTGAGGGAATCATACAAACGCCTTCAACGAGCGATGGCTCGCCAGAGACAGCAATCACAGCCAACCTCCTCATTGAAGGAGACTGCACCTGCTGGACATACCACTCCATTGACGACCCCTAGTCGTGAACGACGCTCGGATCGCACCACGCCACAGGCCCGTCATGAGACCTTCGCCACCTTTCCGGATGTTGAAGTGACTTCCAACCCCGGTAGAGCTGGAGACGATCAGCAGGAACCTTTCGAGCCCGATGCCCCTCGGCGTAGTGATTATGCTGAGGTCCCTCAGGATGATGACCAAAGGTGGACTGCCGCCGAATGGCGGGACTGGCAACGCAACCGCTGGTCATGGTGGGAAGATAGTTCTTCCCCTTGGCCTGAAGAAGAAGAGGTGAAATGGGAACAGTTTGAGTTTTATGATGTTCAAATTCTCCCCCAAGAGTTGTTGGGTTGGTTGCTGCTGCGCCGCAGTGGATTGCCTGCTGCCGCCCGGCTTTCGGTGCTGAGCGCCATCAACAACAAGCTCGATCTGGAAACCATGGAACGAGCGATGAGAGATCAGGAGGAGGAGTTGCTAATGGCCGAACATCATCGTGCACCTCATCTCGCTCGACCCCGACGTTCCTTTTGGGTTGAGCAGGACTCTGAATGGGGACTTTTGAATGAACCCGACATGGATGAGGTCGAAGAAGCTTCGATCTACTGGGTTGGTGATCGTCTGCCTCCTGAGGTCTATCCCTCATGGGAGGAACCTGCTACAGCCTGGACTTCATGGTCACCCGATGGCCAAGAGCTGACCTGGACCTGGCAGGAGGACGACTTCTATGCTCAGGACATGGCCGGAGCCTTTTGGTCATGGACTGAGTACAAAGAATGGTTGGATGCAGAAGACATGGCACTTTCCAACCCCGATGACTCAGAGAACATTTTTGCTGTTTATGCCGCCTTCCAAGAAAAGATGAGATCCTTTCGGGATAGCAGGAAGTTGAACTATGCTAAGCAGCATTCACGTGGTTACTACCCCCTCTCCATGTTCAAGGGCAAGTCCAAAGGGAAGAGCAAAAAGGGGAAACCCAAAGGTTCGTTTGGTTCACCACCATCATCCACCTCGACAGCATTGGCCAGCTTTCAGAAGGGCAAGGGTTCTTCGGGCACGCAACGCCCTGGGAACCCTGAGTATCGCGGATGCTTCATCTGCGGTTCAAAGGAGCATGACTTTCGCTCGTGCCCTCGCCGAAATGGGGATTCAGGAACATCTTCATCGGCAAGGCCAAACTACTTCCAGAACCAGGTCTTCGTGATCCTCTCGGTGGATGAGAACGAGACCACCGTGCTGACAGCAGATGGTGAGGACACAGCCTCATCCTTGGCTGCAGTGGCCGTTGAATACCCTGGCCATGCAGTGATTGATTTGGGAGCGACGGAATCTCTCGCGTCGCTAGATGCCCTGCAGGAGATCATGAACCTGCGGTTGATCAAATTTGGAGAAGAAGAAGTGATCGTGAAAGAGGAGACCAAGAAGTTCAAATTCGGCAATGGTGGCACTCAGAGAGCCGCCTCCTTTGTTGAGCTTCCCCAAGTGATTGGAGGAACAAAAGTTGCTTTAGGTGTGCACGCAATTGATGCACCTGGAGTTCCGTTGTTGCTGAGCGTTCGCACTTTGCGACGCATGGGAGCTGTCATCGATACAGAGCGCAACATGATGCAGCTTCGAAAGTTCTCAGAAGAATGGATTCAGCTGAAGCAGAGTTCGAATGAACATTTGCTGCTGGACATGACTTGTGACTGGTATCACCCTATGCCAAACAGTGCATCCACAACTGCCGGAGCATACATGGAGCGATCGTGCAGCACATACCCTCATGCCCCTCATGCTCATGATTTGGAACCACATGATTTTGTTTGTGCACCTTCCCACGGTCAAGAGCATTCTGAACTTTGTGACAGTCATGTTTTTGAGAGAGTTTCATCGTGTCCGATCGAATCGAAGCCGCACTCTTCAGCAGAGCAAACATGTTTGACCACGTCACCAACACCGGATGCCACAGGCTCAAGCATGCCATCTGTGGCGAAAGCTTTGACTACGCTTGCTGCAGCTACCCGTGCTCTTCACCCTGTGCTTCATGGCTATGGCCACTCAGGGTCGCATCCCTACGAAGGAGGAATTGGAGTCAGCTCCAAGCACTGGGACGCCGGCAAGCCGCTCGACGACTTCGACTACAAGTTCCAAGCCTCAGCGGAAGTCCAGAAAAGACAGAACCCCGACTCCAGAGAAGTACGACATGACCAGAACTACTGGTCCTCCAGCCGACGATCCAAGGAGTCAGGGATTTCCGTGCTTTGGCAATCATATCCCGATGGCACCCGGGAGAGGGTCCCTGACGGGACGAAACAAGTTTGGAATGTGGACTTGTTGCGAGACCTGCAGGCTGCGGATCTCCTACACCCCAGCCTTCGGGGCAACAGCACTGCACCGACAAGCAGGACCACTACCTGCGGATGTCACCACGACCATCGAGCAGCTCGAACCCCAGAAGATCAAGGAGGATCCCATGTACCGCGAGCAGCTCAATGCCAAGTCGGTGGGCTACAAAGGGGCCGAGGATTCGTTGCATCGCCGCTTGAAGGAGATCGAAGAGTCCAAGAAGAAGAATCCACCGCGGCAACGACCAGGTGCAGCGAAGGACACCGAGATGCCATCGGTCCATGCCTCTTCGGCTCAAAGGGGAGCTCAGGTGACACCAGAGCAGAAGAAGTCCACCAAGAGGGAGAACGACCAGACTCCAGAGCACGAGGAATGGTCCTTGGTGAAGGAGCCGGATTCGCCCGAGCAGGCATCTCCCGACAAGGTGTAGATGACTTCATCCCGGAGAATGTCATGAAGCCGATCATCGAACCCCTCGAGAACCTGATTCAGGACGATGAGAAGTACCAGAATGGTCGATGTGGCTTCCTGACTGACAGTCAGCGGACGCAGCTATGCCTATGTGCGGAGGAGTTCCTGGAAGAAGCTCATTCAGCATGGCAAGACATCCTTCCTCCGGAAGATGGCATTGACCTCATGGAGATTTGCTGCCCCCCGGACTCGAGATTGACTCAGACCTTCCTGGATCGTGGACGCAAGGCTATAAGGGTTGGTTTGCCAGCTCACAACATCGCCACCTCCAAGGGAGTTCAAGAGATCAAGAACATGATCACTCGTTGGAAGCCAAAGCTGACATGGTTTTCTTTGCCCTGTGGACCTTTCTCTCCTATCCAGGAGCTCTTCAACGAGAAAGATGACTTGGCCAAGGCCAAAAGTATGGAGAGGAAGCAGAAGGCGAAGAAGATGATCAAGAATGGTCTTGATATCGCCACTCATCAACTTCAACAAGGCCGTGATGTGGCTTGGGAGTGGCCCTCGAACAATCGAGGATGGAATCTTCAGCTGGTTCGCCAATTTTGGAGCCGGCTTGAACAGACAGGTGATCTTTATTGTGGACACGCCAATGGATGCGCCTTTGGCTTGCGAGAAGAGAAGTCAGGTCTTCCCATCAGAAAGCCCTGGCTGATCAAAACGACCTCCAAAGTGGTGGCTCGAGCAGTTTCACGAACATGTCCTGGCACAGCAGTCCATCCACATCACCATGAATGCATTGGAGGTTCAGTGGCTCGCAACTCAGGCTTCTACCCTTCGGCTTTGTGTGATGTGATCTTCAAGGCCGTCAAAGAGATGAGTATGGCTGAAGCCAATGGTGTGATCCCGGCCTGCGCCTATCCCGTTTTTGGCACAGGTGACATGGAGCCAGAGAGACCCAAGAAGACCTATGAGCCCCTGAACGAGAAGGAGAAGCGTGGTGTCCTCCAGATGCTTGAACGTTTGCACAAAAAGACAGGTCACCCATCTAATGCTGCTTTGAGCTCATGCCTACGACATCGAGGTGCTCACCCAGAGGTGATTCAACTTGCAAGCAAGCATATTTGTCCTGAATGTCAGGAACTACGTGCCGCACCTCTACATCCAGCATCTTCCCTGGAGAAATCGGAGACTCTATGGGAGACATTGGTGATTGACAACATGGAGTTCACTGTGTCCGACATCACCTACCACATGATGGTGATGGTGGACGAGGCTTCAAGGCTGATGTGCTGCCACTACCTCTACGAGCATCCGGCAGCTGAGTCGCGCAACGCGACAAGTGATGAGGTCATCCATGGCCTTGAGAGCACTTGGATCTTGCACTACGGTCTACCCGGCAAGATCAGAATGGATCCAGAAGGAGCTTTCCGGTCCAATGCACTTGGACTATGGGCTGAAGAAAGAGGAGTTGAACTTCTTCCATGCGCGGCGGAAGATCATGGCCAGATAGGCATCGTGGAACGATCCATCCAGACCATCAAGGCCACCATCCGCCAGATTCTACAAGGAAGTGATTGCACTCCTTGGCAGGCCGCCGTTCAATCCTGTCAGGCTCACAACCAGCTCGAGAAGATCGAGGGCTATTCACCATTTCAGTGGGCATTTGGCAGACAGCCGACTGTGACTGGCCGATTCCATGAGAATGGGTACGACGATCCGTACTGGACCTCAGTGAGAGTACCTGGCTCCAGCATGATGAAGAACCTCTCACTCCGGATCTTGGCACAGCAGTCTTTCCTCCAGCAGCAGTCTCGAGAACTCATTTCGAGAGCTTCAAATGCCAAGACGCGGAGAAAGACGACATTTTTGCCAGGAGATCTAGTTTATTTCAAACGGATCAAGCCGCCAGCTCAGCCTCAAAGCCATCTTCGCCTCGCTCACAAACTTTGGAGATGGTACGGCCCTGATCGTGTCTTGGCTTCAGAAACCCGAACTGACGCCAAAGGATTCGAGAGACGCCCTAGCAGCATCATCTGGATAGTGAGCCATGGTCGCTTGAAACGGTGCTCCCCGGAACAACTTCGACACGCCTCCGAGAGAGAACGCCTCATTGCAGAAGGAATGCAAGCACCTACAGCTTCCTGGACGTTCCTTGACCTGGCAGCCACCCTGTTCAAGGGTGAGTACGAGATCTTGGATGATCACCTCTTGCCGGAGGACCTGATCTCAAAGGGTGCGCCGAAGACACCACGGCGACCCAGGTCAGTTGGTCCAGAAAGTGGTGCACCTACAACGCCGCGACCTCGGAGAAGCTCTTCAGTGCCTAGGCTTGAACGGGCCCCAGAAGATGCCCAGCGGACCCCAGAAGATGTCCGAATGATGCAGACCCCAAAAAGAAATGTGAGTGAGATGCCGGCCGACGAAGGGGCACGTCAGAAGGCTAAGGCATCAAGAACGAAAGAAGAAAAGAAGACGGATGTTTTTCGGGAACCTTCTTCCGTAAACCCTGGAACCCCTGGTTTGGGTAGCGGTAGTGCACCTTCTAGCGGACCCCAAAGCGGGACACGCTCCCCCATAGATCTCGGCCGCGTCATCCGTGATCCTGGGTATGACCCAACAGCCATGGCACAGGGCAGGAACATGCCCGAGCTGTTTGAGCAGCCCCTGTTCAAGAAGCAGCGGATGAAACTGGCAGCTGAGACCGACGATGAGCTGCTGGCGCATGGCTTCTTTTCCTCAAAGGGCGAGTTTCGCCTTGGTGATTTGGCCTGCGAGATCGAGCTTTCTTTGCCCGTGAAAGCCAGCGAATGGCGATCTATGAAGAGGGACGCCTTGTCCTTCTTTGTGAAGAAAGTGAAAGGAGCTGAAGTTCGATGGCACGAACTCTCACCAGAGAAAAAGGCTCTCTTCAAGACAGCCAAAGATGCAGAGGTATCCCAATGGCTTGCTGCTCAGGCCGTTCGAAAGGCCATTGGACCAGTGCCCAAGGACCGCTTGGTTCGCATGCGGTGGGTGTTGACGTACAAAGACACCGGAGCCGCAAAGGGCCGCATCGTTCTCATCGGGTACGAGGACCCTGACCTGGAGGACATCCAGTCTGCCGCACCGACTATGACACGAAGAACCAGGCAGCTGGCATTGCAGTACTCTTCGGTTCGCGCTTGGCGAGTGCTCAAGGGCGACGTGAAGAGCGCCTTCCTTCAGGGCGAGGCCTCAGAAGCCGACCGGAACCTCTGCGCACTGCCTGTTCCAGAGCTCGCAACCGCACTTGGTTTGAAAGCAGGTGAGGCCGTCCAGGTCATCAAGTCCTGCTACGGGCTCGTGAACGCTCCAGCATCTTGGTTCCAGTGTGTGAAGAACACACTGAAGCAACTTGGCTTTGTTCAGAGCCGGACCGACCCGTGTTTGTGGTTGTTGTTTTCCAATGGGGAATCCACCACCGAGGGTAGGCAGGAAACACTGGGATATGTCTGCTCACATGTGGACGATTTCTTGGTGTCCGGCGACGAAGCAAATGAAGAATGGGTGGCCAAGATTACATCTTTTTACAGCCGATTCAAATGGTCGCCCTGGGAGTTTTCCAGCTTCACACATTGTGGCCTGCAGATCATGGAGCCAGAAGATTTTAGCTTTGTTTTGAGTCACTCCAAATTCATCGAGGGCATTGAACCCATCGAGTTCGAGGCCCGACAAGATCACGATCCTGTGAAAGCAGAGGAGTTGACACAGCTGCGTGGTGTGTTGGGGGCCCTGCAGTGGAGAATCAACCAGAGTTCACCATTGCTTGCTGCCCGACTTGGACAGCTACAAAGCGAGATCAGCAGTGCAACAGTTGGTACATTGAGAGCCACGAACAAGTTGCTGCGTGAAGCATTCCACGGTCGCCATGTGTCAGTGCGTGTGAACCAGTTGCACGTTGGCGATCCTTTGGATGTTTGTTTCCTAGGTTGGTCGGATGCGGCATTGGCCAACCGGAAGGACCTTAGCAGCACTGGAGGCTATGTCATCGCCGCAGCGTCGCCCAAGATGTTGCAAGGCACCAGGAGCCCACTGTCACTGGTGTCATGGCGATCGGCTCGCTTGCAGCGAAAGGCTCGTTCGTCTTTGAGCGCAGAAACCCAAGCCCTGGCGGAATGTGATCAAGAGTTGATGTTCACAAGGCTGGCTTGGGCAGAGTTTTGTGGCATCCAAGTCGATTTGAAGCAGCCTTCCTTGGCTGTATGCCGCATTTGTGGAGCGGTGATCGTAGATGCCAAAGCTTTGTATGATGTGCTCATCAAGCGAGATCTCAACTCCAGCGGTGCGGGTCTGAAAGACAAATACACCGCCTTGGAAGTGTTGTGCCTCCTTGAATCCATTGAGCGGAATTCGACGATTGTGCGGTGGGTGCACAGCGAGTCACAGATCGCTGATGCGCTCACGAAGCCACTGCCTCCCGGAATCTTAGAGAAGGTCATGGTTGAGGGATCATGGACCCTTCGCTATGATCCAAGCTTCACGAGTTCGAAACGACTCAAGAAGGCCGGACGAGAGAATCCTGTGGTCGCCCAGCCAACCGTCTTTGATCAAGAGTTTTGGGGCATTTCGGAAAACGTTCTTGACAGGTACAGCCACTTGTGTCCCCCCA